TGGGTCCTAGGCCCCATATTTGTTGCATACCATAGAATAGCAGGGGGTTCTCAGGTAAAGTGTGCCAGCTTAAATGTCCGAATCACCTTTTCAATTGACCGCTATTTTATCTAGTTCTTTTCTCCTGATCTTCTTAGCTGCCAACGCATACCGTGCTGCTTTATAAGTTGCAAAGTCACTTATGATTCCCCTGCCGCTGATCCTCTGGTGTTGGCAAAATATCTCGGGATGTTTAAAGGCATTTTCCTTCGCCCATGAAAGAGTGAAGGGGCAAAGCAGTTGAAGAAGCAGGGCTTGTGGCTCCTGTTCTCTGAACAATCTTGGGCTCTACCTTACTCAACGGAGGCCCTGTTGTTGTTGGGTGCTTCTCGGCTGGTCCTGACCCATGACAGGGCCTTCTCAGTGGTGGTTCCCTTCGCTGGTGAGATGTGTCTGTCTCCTCCAGAATGGGGAAACATTCCTGCATGCCCAGGCACTTGATGGTCCTGGAACCCTGGAGCACTGCTGCCAGTCTGCTGCCACTGACTTGTGGGGAGATCTTTCAGAGAAGAAAGGGCAAAGGAGTAAACCTTTCACAAATCCAGAGTAGAGCCCCTAAGATAACAACAACAACAACAACAATTTATTATTTGTACCCTGCCCATCTGGATGGGTTTCCCCAGCCACTCTGGGTGGCTTCCAACAAAGATTAAAAATACATCAAAATGTCACACATTAAAAACTTCCCTGAACAGGGCTGCCTTCAGATGTTTTCTAAATGTCAGGTAGTTGTTTATCTCTTTTTATCTCTTTGACATCTGGTGGGAGGGCATTCCACAGGGTGGGTGCCACTACCAAGAAGGCCCTCTGCCTGGTTCCCTGTAACTTGGCTTCTTGCAGTGAGGGAACTGCCAGAAGGCCCTTGGCGCTGGACCTCAGTGTACGGGCAGAACGATGGGGGTGGAGACGCTCCTTCAGGTATACTGGACCGAGGCCCTTTAGGGCTTTCAAGGTCAACACCAACACTTTGAATTGTGCTCGGAAATGTACTAGGAGCCAATGTAGGTCTTTCAAGGCCGGTGTTATGTGGTCTTGGCGGCCGCCCCCAGTCACCAGTCTAGCTGCCGCATTCTGGATTAGTTGTAGTTTCCGAGTCACCTTCAAAGGAAGCCCCACATAGAGCGCATTGCAGTAGTCCAAGCGGGAGATAACCAGAGCATGCACCACTCTGGCGAGACAGTCCATGGGCAGGTAGGGTCTCAGCCTGCGTACCAGATGGAGCTGGTAGACAGCTGCCCTGGACACAGAATTGACCTGCGCCTCCATGGACATCTGTGCGTCCAAAATGACTCCCAGGCTGCGCACCTGGTCCTTCAGGGGCACAGTTACCCCATTCAGGCCTAGGGAGTCCTCCACACCTGCCCACCCCCTGTCCCCCAAGAACAGTACTTCTTTCTCATCAGGATTCAACCACAATGGTTGTGACCCCTGGGAATCATAGTCCAGAGCATCTGCTGGGCACCATGTTGGAGAAGGCATGGCAGACCAGACCACCCTCTCTCTGCAGGACGGGTGGGAGTCATCTGGGATGCAGGGATGAAGCTAGTGGGCGTCCCTGTTAGTCATGCAGAACAAAACTGAGCCAGGAAGACAAAGGCTTGCTGACTCAGGGAACTGTTATGACTCACCTTGCAAGATGGGGATTTGAAAAACAATCATCGGATTAACCCCTGATAGAGTGGAGGGAGGAGGGAGGCCTTTTTTCCAATGTAGCAGCTGAATCTCTGAAGCAGTGATGCTGTCAGGGCAGGAAAATGGGGGGGGGGGGAGAGAGACAGTCCCCAAATTGGGAGCTCCCCCCCCAAAAGAGGCAGTGATGGTTACCAACTTGGATGGCTTTAAAAGAGGATTAGACAAATTCGTAGAGGAGGACTCTTGATGGCTACTAGGCAGGATGGTTCTGCTCTGACTCCACAGTTGGTATGCTTCTGAATACCAGTTGCTGGAAACTGTCAGGAGTTCAGCCTACACTTGAGTAGGACCCTGGCAGAGACACATGCCAGACTGGCATGTTCTCTCCCTCCTGGTCTTTCGTTCAGGAGCTTCAAATGTTTCCTCAGCCCAAACATCACAGTGACCAATGCCAACCGACACCAGCACACTTAGGGACCCACAGAGTTTGTGCAACTTGCATAACAGACCTCAGCAACTCAGCGTTTTGGCTAATCTACTTTATTTAAATATACTGTGGTAAAAGGGACCCCTGACCATTAGGTCCAGTCGTGACCGACTCTGGGGTTGCGGCGCTCATCTCACTTTATTGGCCAAGGGAGCCGGCGTACAGCTTCCGGGTCATGTGGCCAGCATGATTAAGCCGCTTCTGGCGAACCAGAACAGCGCACAGAAACGCCGTTTACCTTCCCACCGGAGCGGCACCTATTTATCTACTTGCACTTTGATGTGCTTTCGAACTGCTAGGTTGGCAGGAGCAGAGACCAAGCAACAGGAGCTAATTCGTTCCGGAGGTCCGTTCTTAACCTGAAACTGTTCTTAACCTGAAGCACCACTTTAGCTAATGGGGCCTCCTGCTGCCGCCGTGCCGCCAGAGCACGATTTCTGTTCTCATCCTGAAGTAAAGTTCTTAACCTGAAGCACTCTTTCTGGGTCAGCGGAGTATGTAACCTGAAGCGTATGTAACCCGAGGTACCACTGTAAACCCACACGGAGCACTGCAACATGGCCCCCCTCTCTCTCTAGCATCAGACAGCAAAGAGAAAAAGAACAAAGGACAACAGTCCCACTTCATGGAACACAGTAACACAAACATCCTGTCTCCATCACTTCCCACTCTTTGGAGTCAAAACATACACCGTCATGTGATAGACAATGATCCCATGACTGCAGTCACGGAGCAGGAATTCTAACAGAAACCACAGCAGGGGAAAGTTGCTCTTGGGCTAAGATCCTGCTTGTACATGTCCCATAATGGATATCTGGCTGGCCAGTGTGAGTACAGGATGCTGGACTAGATGGGCCATTGGCCTCATCCAGCAGGCTCTCTTCTGGTATGTCCAACTCTTCATAACAAGGGTGTCTGCAAATGTGCCATGAATGCGGGCAACATCAACTCTGCCATGTGGGAACCCCTTGCAGTGCTTGGAGACAGTCTGGTTGTGTATCCATAGTAGTGACCACAGCAGAAATGACCGCTGGGAGGAGCGCACAGAGAGAAAATGCCCTGGTGCATCTGCAGCAGCACAATCAGATGCCTTCATCTGCCCCAGCTGCAACAAAACATGTCTCTCCTGTATCTGTCTCTGCAGCCACAGCAATTGCTGCAACTTTCCAACCGTTTGACTTCACCCCCAAAGGTGCACTCCTCCGTTGTCTCCCGAGACAGATGGATGCCAGGGGTGTGTCTTGCAAACCACTGTTCTGAACGATGCTTTTTTTATCGGTTAGGGGGCTGGAGGGAGGATTCAGAGCTGAAGTGGGCTGCTTCGTGAAACTCCCTCTGCGCCACTGATGTGGCTTTTAAAAGACCATTGCAAAGATTTGCTTGGCATCCTTTAACAACTCTCAAAAGATCCAGTTGATGCTAGAGAGACTAACCGGCTGCCAATAAAAACCAGTTAGGCAAGGTCATTCCCCACAGTTCATTGAGAAAAGTTTAAAGGGAATGTGCCAACATTCAACCGCATAACATGTAGTTTGGGCTTCAGCCACCCTGCGCACACTGGATGACTTTTGGTCAGCCGTTTCCCAACCAGGTGGCTTCCAGATGTGCCTGACTACAGCAGAGGCAGATGGGAACATCTGGAAACAGCCTGCTTTGGGGAAAAGGCTGAGTTTGGGCAATCACTTTCCTACTACTTCACAAGGGTATTGGGAGGAAAAACTGGCTTGCAGGCTGACATCTGAATGCTTCCTTGAGTTTCTTGGAGACAGAGTTGGATAAAAATGAAATAAGCACATCTCATATCTCTCGCTCGTCGTGTTCCTTTATGTGCTCTGTTTATAATAAGATCAAGGTTTCTAAAATAATGAAGGCCTCATCCACGAACCTCTCTGCCTTTCTCAGCTTTTCCTGGCCAGACACACATTTAAAGGGCACCCAACACACCTTTAAAGCTCAAAACTTCTCCCAAAGAATTATGGGAACTGTGTTGTGTTGTTTGGTCTTTTAGTCGTGTCCGACTCTTTGTGTCATGGACCAGAGCACACCAGGCACTCCTGTCTTCCACTGCCTCCCGCAGTTGGGTCAAACTCATGCTGGTAGTCAAAACAAAAAAAATTCCTTCCAGTAGCACCTTAAAGACCAACTAAGTTAGTTCTTGGTATGAGCTTTCGTGTGCATGCACACTTCTTCAGATACACTGAAACAGAAGTTGCCAGATCCTTCTATATAGTGAGAAGGTGGGGAGGGGTATTACTCAGAAGGGTGGTGGGAATGGGTGATTGGCAGATAGCTGGGATGAGCCTGTTGACGACTCTTAACGACTGCAATAGGTCTTACAGGAAAAAGCAAGGGGTGAGAAGGTGAAAAATGGCTTTGTCATGTATAATGAGATAAGAATCCAATGTCTTTGTTCAGACCAGGTCTCTCCATGGTTTTAAGTTTGGTAATGAGTTGCAATTCAGCAGCTTCTCTTTCCAGTCTATTTCTGAAATTCCTTTGTAGTAAAACAGCTACTTTGAGATCTTGTATAGAATGTCCTGGGAGATTGCTGGTAGCTGGTAGCTTCGAGATCACTGTCCCACCATCTCATCCTCTGTCGTCCCCTTCTCCTTGTGCCCTCCATCTTTCCCAACATCAGGGTCTTTTCCAGGGAGTCTTCTCTTCTCATGAGGTGGCCAAAGTCTTGGAGTCTCAGCTTCAGGATCTGTCCTTCCAGTGAGCACTCAGGGCTGATTTCCTTCAGAATGGATCGGTTTGATCTTCTTGCAGTCCATGGGACTCTCAAGAGTCTCCTCCAGCACCATAATTCAAAAGCATCCATTCTTCGGCGATCAGCCTTCTTTATGGTCCATCTTTCACTTCCATCCATCACGACTGGGAAAACCAGAGCTTTAGTTTCCTCTTTACAGAGTTGCAGTTCCTAGCACAACAGTTCGCAGGATTCTTTGGAGGAAGTTGTGTGTCCTTGGCCTCCCCTAAGGGGGGGAAATGTTCCTAGCCAGAGATCCAGGAGCGAATTGTGCAGAGGACGCACAAACAACTTCCGTCCAGGAGACAAACAGCGGCGTGTGTGCTGAACAGTGCAAAACAATGGAAAGCCCCAACGCCTCTTCTTTCCTCTTATCAGTTTCCTCGGACACGCTCCTTTCTCTGGGTCAGTTTCCTGTGCGGACACTGGTCCATTTCCTCGATTCAACTTGCAAGCCTTTTGGAGACGTCCAAGCTGTTCTAAAAAAAACCTCAGGTTGGCTTTTACAGCCCAAATCTCCACCGAGGCCCGCTAATCGATCAGAGAAAACAAACGGAGGCAACCCAAGAAGCAATGCTATAGCTGTTTTTATCTTTGTTCCTTATCTGTTGTGACAGGCCAGAAGAAAAGCGAGTTACGAAACGTCACAGATACATCACCAAACGGGTTGTGCATGAAAATCAGTTCATGCTCAGAGTTCATGTTTCTCCCACGTCTTTACAAGTCTATCAAGATGCCTGATGACACCTGAGGATTGCCCTTCCTGGCCTGTCTGAAACATCCTTTGGAAATGGTGAACACCTTGGCTCCTGAAGCCAAAGGCCTGCAACATTCAGACATAGATTTGTGCTCATTTGACAGTTCAGCTTGGCCACGCAACAGACTCCTGTCAAACCGGTTTGCAGAGGGGCGACCTCCCAGGAATTTCTTGCTACCGTGACCTGAGGGGGGGGGGGCTCTTGGAGCCAAACCTCCCTCTTGTATTGCTCTCTGTACTATTTCAGACATGCGGTTTACGCACTTCTCCATGTGCGTTTGCATTTTATTTATGGCACCTTAGACTTCTTGCAACAAAGCGAAGACGGCAGGCAGGCGGCTCCTAGACGGACAACTGCCCGTCCCGCACCGGACAGCCTTCATCCACCCCTTTCCTCTGCGCCTGCCAGAGGCTCCCGGTCCCACCCCTTGCTGGCGAGAGCCCTGGTGTTGGTGTCGGTTTCAGGGCCAGGCGCGCGTCCGCCTCCCGTCCGCGCCCCCGGGGAGGAAGAAGCATGATATGCGTCCGCTGGCTTCCTGGAGGGGACTATCCCTCTCGCCCCCCTCCCGCGCTCCTTCCTCCCGCTCCGGCTGCCCTGTGCGTAATTGCGCGCGGAGGTTCGGCAGGTGATGGTCCTATAACTATGCGAGCCATGCTTCAGGGAGAAGGCCAGGGCGAAGCGGCGCGGGAAGGGTTAACTCCGAAGGGTGCAGAGCCTGGGAAGGACGCGCAGCCCAGCCGGGTAAGCCGGAGAGGAGGGCGAAGGGTGCAGGCAGTGGCCTCAGCCAGGACTAGCACCTTGACCAATTTGGAGAGGTGGCTTTTCTTGTGCGTGACTCCGCGGAGCGCTGCGAGGCTGGCTGAGCGCCCTCACAGTCGGTTCCAAGAGGGTTTCTATATTTGAGCATTTTAAAGGGGGTGGGAGGCGCTCCGGGGCCGTTTGCCTGCCAAAAGTCTAAGCCAGGCAGCCGGAGAGGGTGGCGCTTGACTTGCAGATGCGGCACGGAGAGATCCTTTGGCAAGGAGGAAGCGGCCGGGAGCAGAGTTTACCTATGCGCGTTTGCAATTCTCTTTTTAATTCCGCGGGCTATGAAAAGTAAAACGCGAGGGAGGCAAGGGGGTGCAGACATATAGATCCGAGCACCTGGCCGCACGCAACTCGGTGGCTTTGCATGCGAAAAAGCCCTTGTCATCTCCACTTACAAGGGTTTCAGGTGGTATCTGCGGAACTCGCTGCAGCAGGGGGCAGCGAGGGCCACCGACATGGATGGCTTTAAGAGAGGATTGGACAGATTCGTGGAGAAGGGTACCTACGGGACCGCCTCTCCCGGTATGCCTGGAAGACTGTGCTTCTGAGCATGTGCAGAGTGCTGTTCCTCAGGGAGGCAGTGGAGGTGCCTGCACTAGCCCAGGGTCAGGCCAGGCTCAAAATCAGGGGCCAGCAACCTTTTTCAGTCGTGGGCCGGTCCATCGTCCCTCAGACCATGTGGTGGGCCGGACTATATTTTGGGGGGAAATATGAACAAATTCCTATGCCCCAGAAAGAACCCAGAGATGCATTTTAAATAAAAGGACACATTCTACTCATGTAAAAACACGCTGATTCCCAGACCGTCCACCGGCTGGATTGAGAAGGCGATTGGGCCGGATCCGGCCCCCCCCCCGGGCCTTAGGTTGCCTACCCCTCCTCAAGATGCTTTGCTGCCTGAGGCAAAGGACGCAAGATGCCCATTTTATGGGCGTAAGCTGGCCAGACTGAAGATACAGCCTCATGGCAATGCTGGCAAGACAGCATCTCCCAACCCCTTAAGGGAGCCAGGCTAACTTAGAGGGCTCAGGGCAGAACTCTACCCTTTAGCATCAGAGATGGGGGACCTTTTTCAGGCTGGGGCCCGCATTGCCTTCTAACCAACGTTCCAGGGGCCACATGTCAGAGGTGAGCAGGGCCAGATTTAGGTTTGATGAGGCCCTAAGCTCCTGAAAGTAATGGGACCCTTCATATGTCCAGCTGTCCTTCGTCAACAACAAATTGTCGCTGCTTTTTGTGTTGCATATATGCTCTCTGGTAATTGATGGACCTAATAGGTATCTGAAGCCATTTGCACGTAACAAAATATGTATTTATGTATTTTATCAAAGTAATTGTTGAACTGAAATACAATAAAGAAGATGTACTAATAGTGAAATACCATTAATTAGTATATTGATAGTGAAAAATTATTAAGCTCTAACTTAAAATGATTTTTTTATTCATAACAAACTTAATAATGCAAACACATTGGCATTTGCCAATAACAAAAGTTCCTTTAGAAACACAATTTACCAAGACTCATAATCTAATCTCTAGAAACTTGCTATAACATGAAATAATAATTGTAGGTTTTATTTTGTTTTTTATCTTATATTTTGGAAATGTACATCCAGGTGGTTTTTTCCCTTTATTTTTTTGGGGGGGCCCAAGAGAGTGGGGCCCTAAGCTGTAGCTTGTTTAAAGGTAAAGGTAAAGGGACCCCTGACCATTAGGTCCAGTCATGACCGACTCTGGGGTTGCGGCGCTCATCTCGCTTTATTGGCCGAGGGAGCCAGCGTACAGCTTCCGGGTCATGTGGCCAGCAGGACTAAGCCGCTTCTGGCAAACCAGAGCAGCACACAGAAACGCCGTTTTCCTTCCCGCTGGAGTGGTACCTATTTATCTACTTGCACTTCGTGCTTTTGAACTGCTAGGTGGGCAGGAACAGGGACCGAGCAACGGGAGCTCACTCCATCGCGGGGATTCGAACTGCCGACCTTCTGATCAGCAAGCGCTAGGCTCTGTGGTTTAACCCACAGCGCCTCCTGCGTCCTGTAGCTTGTTTAGCTTATACATAAATCTGGCCCTGGAGGTGAGCAGGGGCCAGGAACAAAATTGGAGTGGGCAACAAATGTAGGCTAGTTTCTACCCACACTTGCACACTCCTCTCTCCATCCTTCGCCCAGGGAAATAAGAGACATTGTCAGAGTTCCAGGGCACCTTCCACCTGTGCAGAAACACTGAAGGAAGGTGAAAACCAGCAGCAATGATGGGCAGAGGCTGTGCTATCGTCAGGCCAACTAGGCATCCGCCTCGGGCACAGACCTCCGAGGGGTGGGCACAGTTTCATACAGGTTAGTTTTTGTTTTACCAATCCTGTGAACTTAACAGCAGCAGCACAAAGACTTCCAAAGTCCATGCTGCCGCTGCGCTAGCAAAACCTCTCTTTGTGCCACGACAAAAGCTCCTGGATAAAGTGCCAGATGTTTCTGTTGCCCTAAGGAGCCTCCACGCACTTCCAGCGTCAGTGGCGAGTGGGGAACGCAAAGCTCGAGTTTGCAGAACTGTCTTATGTTTAAGAATGTTGCCAGGGGGACTAGTCGGCTTGGCAAATCTATCAGCTGAGCATGTGCCCAAGCTGCCTGCGCTTGACCCGAAGGAGCTGGTGATGACAAAGTTTGCCAAGGAAAAGGCACACAAAGTGAGATTGTGATCTGCATGAAATGGCAACATGTAACACCGCAATTCACAAGACTATTCAAAATGGTTTGTGTCCTCAAGTGTTTTCTTTTGTATTTGAGGAAGGTGCTCAAAGATGGTTGCATTATGCTTATCCTTACACTCTAAAATAAATTTAGCGCTTCCAAGTTTTGTGCTTTTGATTTTTCAACTGCTTCTGAAAATTGAAGCTAGCAATTTTGGGGGTGGGTTGCAAGTACAGTGGTACCTTGGGTTAAGTACTTAATTCGTTCCGGAGTTCCGTTCTTAACCTGAAACTGTTCTTAACTTGAAGCACCACTTTAGCTAATGGGGCCTCCCGCTGCTGCTGCACCGCCGGAGCACGATTTCTGTTCTCATCCTGAAGCAAAGTTCTTAATCCGAGGTACTATTTCTGGGTTAGCGGAGTCTGTAACCTGAAGCTTCTGTAACCTGAGGTACCACTGTAGTTAGCCATGCCTAGGGTGCAAAATAGCCTGGTGATAGGTGCAGCCTGGAGAGAGCACTGAAGGCCAGTTAGAGAGGCCTAATTTTCCTCTCAGCTGCTCTAACACCTTCCCACTGCTTTGCCCCCTCTGCCCTAAATCTGCCACCTGAGGCCATTGCCTCCCTCTGCCTCATGGTAGGACTGCTTTGGAGCTTCCCATAATGAGCAAGTTGTTGATCACTGTGAGGACAGGATGCTGGACTAGCCAGGCCATAATGCCCCACCTTCCTCCCCACACCTCCAGGATTTCATGCGCACACAAGACTTTGCCTTCCTGCATCCACCGACAACATGCTCAATCTGCAACAAGCTTTGATTTTCGGAAATCGGAATGAAACCCTGAAATATACTCAGAGTCGCAAAGTGATTTCATGCTCTTTATTCAGCTCATAGTGGTGAGGAGGAATGAATGAATGTCCCCTCAGAGTATCTGCTTTATATACATTATTTACACAATGGGCTAATTCTGATTGGCTAATTCTGGAATTCTACTGTAAGCCAATCAGGTTGTGGATTCACTTCTATCTGGAGCATGATTGGGTGGTTCCTGCCAACCAATCATACTGCTGCATTGTTCTAGGACCAATCAGACTGCTGCATTCTGAATCCTATTGTTCTAGGACCAATCAGACTGCTGCATTTTGGATCCTATTGTTCTAGGACCAATCAGACTGCTGCAGTTTGGATCCTATTCAACTCAGTACATAACAAACCCGTTTCTCAAGAAGCGCTTTTCATGGACTAAAAAATACGCAGCAGTTCTAGATTGTGTGAGGACTACGCAGGGGAAAAGAAAACAAGCACTCCATTGACTCTGGAACGAAATGTGTGTGTGCTGCCATAATACTAGGGGATGAGAAATGCCAGAAGCAGGCGATGTTGCTCTCAGACAGTGCGTGGAAGCAAAGAGCTGGCCAAGCCTTTCCTGGGTGCCACGGCCTGTGCCCTGCTTGGACAAGCGCCCAGGGGAACTTCAGGGTGCCGGCCAAGTAGGTGAAGTTTGGTAAAGCATTAATGAACGTGCCCAGGTCCCTGGCTGTGTCGTCATTGCCTTCTCTTGTTGCCACAATGAATCACAGCCCTCGTTCCTTCCAGAAATGTGTCTGCAGTCCCCCAGGGAGGGTGCCTCTGATTGGCCTAATTACCGTACTTCCTGCCGTTGGGACAGGGTAAAAAAGTGTAACAGGGTCAGTGCAAGAAATCTGGGCACCAGAGGCGATCGCAAAATGGCACGTCCTCCCACCAGGGAAGATGGGGTGAGTGGAGACGTACAACAAGAACCAGGGAGGAATTGATCGAATTAACCTTACCTGACACTTGAAGTGGGAATCAAAGGCCATTTGGGGAGGTGGGGGCTCTGCTCTGAATCACGCTGGCAGGGTGCAAAGCCCAGGAGGCCCCCAGGAGTCAGCCTTTTCAGTATCCTCCCTGGGGTGGCAGGAGACTGGTAAAGTAAAGGTAAAGGGACCCCTGACTGTTAGGTCCAGTCGTGGCCGACTCTGGGGTTGCGGCACTCATCTCGCTTTACTGGCCGTGGGAGCCGACGTTTGTCCGCACACAGTTTTTTCCGGGTCATGTGGCCAGCATGACTAAGCCGCTTCTGGCGAGCCAGAGCAGCACACGGAAACGCCATTTACCTTCCCGCCAGAGCGGTACCTATTTATCTACTTGCACTTTGACGTGCTTTCACACTGCTAGGTGGGCAGGAGCAGGGACCGAGCAACGGGAGCTCACCCCATCAAGGGGATTCGAACTGCCGACCTTCTGATCGGCAAGTCCTAGGCCCTGTGGTTTAACCCACAGCACCGCCCGCATCCCAGGAGACTGGTAGCACCCTCTATTTGCTGAGAGGCTGCTGTTGAGGTGGGGTGGGGGGCTGCCGAGGTGACAGATTCAGCCCCCAAGGAGTGTGCCACAGCCATTGCTGTTACTGCAGCTGCAGCCGGTGATGCATTCCTTGGAGGCCAGATATGCTGCCCCTATAGATCCTGCCACCCGAGGCAGTCGCCTCACCTTGCGTCATGGGTGGGCCGGCCCTGATAAGTAACCAAGATGAGGACCAAGAGGCAGTGTCCGGCTACGAGCCTCAGTCAGTTAAAAGCTCTTTGGAACCAAGAGGCTGTTAAAGGAAGGTGCCATGTGGTCCTTCCTGGTCAGTGCCCTCCCTTCCACCCCACAGGGTTCCTGAGCTGGGGGGCCACCACTGAGAAGACTCTGGATGGAGCAGCCATCTTCTGGAGCTCTCTGGATGTTTTGGGACTACAACTCCCATCAGCCCCTGCCAGCAGAGCCAGGCTCCAGCTAGCCACAGCATCACATGGCTGGTGCTGATGGGAGTTGTAGCCTAAAATATTTGGGGCGTCTCACAATAGGGAAGGAAGCACTGGATCTTGGAGCCACAATCCCCCATACTTCAGATAGTGGGACCACTTTGAAGGGAGCCTTCTTAGTGCAGGGGTTATTGTTTTTTGTTTACTGTGTTATGTATTATTCTGTTCTTATATTGTCAAACACCATGCGATCCTTGAAGGAGCAACTGAACAGCAACTGAACTGCAGGCACAACAGGGCTGTTCTGTTCTGCAGCCCTCTGTGAAAATATGTGCTTCTAAAATTATCTGCAGCCGCTTTCCAGCTGCCGACACCCGATCCATCGCAGGCAGCTTGTGAAATGTCTCCCCATCTCCTTGCCATCCCTGTTTATGCTGCTATTATCCCTCCAGTCTAAGGAGTTGAGGTTGGCATATCTATCTGTTTCCTTCCACAACGCCCCTGCGAGGGAGAGTGCAGGATGAGGGAAGTTTCCCCACTACAGTTCATGGCTGGCTGGCTGGCTGGGGATCTGAACCAGGATCTCTCCAGCCTGGGTTGTCGGCTGCATGCCAAGCGAGGGCAGAGCCAGAATTAAGAACAGGTGGAGACGCTTGCAAAAGTATCCTGAATTAACTAATCCAGAATAAAGACTACTGCCCTGCGTCCATTTTTGCCATGGTCACCTCAGATTAAAATTCCCAAACGTTGGTGAGTCTACTCAAGAGTAAGCGGTTCTACTGAGAAAGCCATCATCCTGAGCCCCACCCCACAAGATAAGATGGCCTTGGCTGTTGAATGAGCCTTCACTCTGTTGTTTTTTTGCAGGAAAGTAAGAAGGTGTTGTCAAAGCAAGTGTGATCCCACACTCTCCAGTACATTTCCCTATGATTTATTACCAAAAAAGCCCACACCTGATCTTTTTGGGGAATTGGGTTTGTTGTGCAAGAGCTCCCAATGCACTATAATTGCACAACCTGAATTTGTTGTTATGTGATTGAACCCTGCCCTCAAACAGCAGCAGCTGGGGCAGGCTTTCAGCTTGAAGTGGTAACTCAAAAAGGACTAGAATCTTGCTTTTGCTTTATTTTTAAAGAAAGATCCTTTCTGAGAGCAATATTCTATTCTTTATGTGTGTGGGATCTTGAAACATTTGAAGTCCTGTTCTCTCTCTCTCTCTCTCTCTCTCTCTCTCTCTCTCTCACACACACACACACACACACCCCACTGCTGCCTGGAAAGTTGTGATTATGCCCAATTTACAGCTGGGGAATTGAGGTCAAGAAAGGCGATTGAAGAGTCCTTGAGTAAGCTTGCTTTCCTCAACCACATATTCTCTTCTGGTTCTCTGTTATCCACCGCAAAAACTTTCATCGCCTCTTTTGAAAACCTGTCAGACTCTGGACTTTGGATGTTGTCATGGCTTGAGAGAGGTCATGCCAGTTTGACACCCTGTTCAGAAATGGTATTTTAGGCGTATCAGGATGTGCCGAAACTCCACTTAGTGTCAAAGGAAGAGGCAGCAGATCAGGGGGGAGAGAGAGAGAGAGAGAGAGAGAGAGAGAGAGAGAGAGCGCGAGCGAGCTTTCTCTGGGTCTGCCAAATCCCTGATCTTGCATAAGATTAACATAGAAAATTCTTGGTCAACAGACGAAGAAGCTCAGAAGCTCGTGTTTAGAGAGGAATTTAACATCCTCCCAACTCCCGTGATGCAATTTGCAGTGACCCCCCTCTGACAGTGGGATCAAGGCAACCGATAGGATTTTGCACTGTGGAAACTCCCTGCTGTTTGAATATAGGGGTAGGCCAGATTAGAGAGTTGTAGAGAAACTGCAGAGGGACGCGGGTGGCGCTGTGGGTTAAACCACAGAGCCTAGGACTTGCCGATCAGAAGGTTGGCGGTTTGAATCCCCGCGCGGACGGGGTGAGCTCCCGTTGCTCAGTCCCAGCTCCTGCCAACTTAGCAGTTTGAAAGCACGTCAAAGTGCAAGTAGATAAATAGGTACCACTCTGGCAGGAAGGTAAATGGTGTTTCCGTGCGCTGCTCTGGTTCGCCAGAAGCGGCTTAGTCATGCTGGCCACATGACCCGGAAGCTGTACGCCGGCTCCCTCGGCCAGGAAAGCGAGATGAGCGCCGCAACCCCAGAGTCGGCCCCGATTGGACCTAATGGTCAGGGGTCCCTTTACCTTTAGAGAAACTGCAGAAGGGATATTCATGTCCAGCAGGTCTACAGACCCTCCCAGGTCAGAAGCAGTAGGCACTGGGAGGTTGTGTGGAACAAACCTGCAGCCGTCCAGCTGGGGGTGATGGCACCTGTAGCCCCAAACACCTGGAGGCTGGCAAAGCCTGCAGTTGGGGAGCACAGAAGTATGCTGTATATTAACCACTGGTCCATCTAGATCAGCATACTCTACTCTGACTGGCAGAAGCTCCCAGAATTCTTTGGGTGCTTTAAAGGTAAAGGTAAAGGTACCCCTGCCCATACGGGCCAGTCTTGACAGACTCTGGGGTTGTGCGCTCATCTCACTCTATAGGCCGAGAGCCAGCGCTGTCCGCAGACACTTCCGGGTCACGTGGCCAGCGTGACAAGCTGCATCTGGCGAGCCAGCGCAGCACACGGAACGCCGTTTACCTTCCCGCCAGTAAGCGGTCCCTATTTATCTACCTGCACCCGGGGGTGCTTTCGAACTGCTAGGTTGGCAGGCGCTGGGACCGAACAACGGGAGCGCACCCCGCCGCGGGGATTCGAACCGCCGACCTTTCGATCGGCAAGCCCTAGGCGCTGAGGCTTTTACCCACAGCGCCACCCGTGTCCCTTCTTGGGTGCTTTACATGCAGGATAATAATAATAATAATAATAATAATAATAATAATAATAATAATAATAATAATTTCATTTATACCCCGCCCTCCCCGGCCAAAGCCGGGCTCAGGGCGGCTAACACCAATAAAATTACAATAAAAACATAACAGAAAATAAATAAATAAAGCAATTTAAAATACAGCTTAAAATGCAATTTAAAATGCAGCCCTATTTTAATAGTAGCCCATAGATCAAAACCTTAAGGGGAGGGAAACATAAGGGTCAGACTGAGTCCAAACCAAAGGCCAGGCGGAACAGCTCTGTCTTGCAGGCCCTGCAGAAAGATGTCAAGTCCCGCAGGGCCCTGGTCTCCTGGGACAGAGCGTTCCACCAGATCGGGGCCAGTGCTGAAAAGGCCCTGGCCCTAGTTGAGACCAGTCTAACCTCCTAGAGGCTCGGGACCTCCAAAGTGTTGTTATTTGTGGACCTTAAGGTTCTCTGCGGGGCATACCAAGAGAGACGGTCCCACAGGTACGTGGGTCCTAGGTTGCACAGTGCTTTAAAGATGAAACCTTTCTTCAAAGTGTGAAAAGCCAGATATGCTGTGTTTTGGGGGAAGGCTCTCCTGTGCATTTCTGCAGAGCGGGGCCCTTGACCTATGCCCCAAAGTCCTCCCTCGAGTGCCCCACTTTGACAGGGGTGCGATGCTCGCCTCATGCCCAACTGAATTTCCCAGAGGCCTCCAGTTCTCCACTGCCAGATGCTCACCAAACTGAACACCTTCTGATCTACCAGGGCTGCTCTTTAACATTTTCTTATATTTGCATTAGAGAAGACAGGATTTGTTACCTTTGCAGGGTGTGTCTGTGTTCAAGAGATGCTCTCCTCACCTGCTAGCATCTCATTCCCAGGTGAAACCAGCCTTACCTCTCCACCGGAAGGTTTGCTATGCGCTTGGAGGCGCCCCTTACCAGCTCACAGGCAACGCAGTCGGGTTTTTCCTCCAGATCTTCTTGCTGGATGTCGTGCAGGTGAGCTCCATCCTGCCACTCAGCTACATTCAGCAAAAACAGTGATCTGAATGAGTTATAAACATGCAACACCAGATGGCGCCAGACAGCACAAAACTTTTCCATAGCGTTTTTCCATAGGGTTTTTTTTTTGGTTATAACAATTTGATTTCTGACTTATTTATAGCATTTCCCCCCCTGTGTGCAGATCCACCCCTGGTTTGTTTGCAGGGAGATGAAATGTTGGTTTCTTAATAATATGATGATGACGATGATGATGATGATAATGATAAATTTATATCCCACCCTCCCCAGCCGAAGCCAGGCTCAGAGCGGCTAACAACAGTAAAATAATACAGCATTCTAAAATCAATTCATTATAAAATCAGTTGATAATGATGATTTATTATTTATACCCTGCCCATCTAGGAGGCTTCCAGCAGAATACTATAATACAAGGATTCATCAAATATTAAAAGCTTCCCTAAACAGGGCTGCCTTCAGATGTCATCTAAATGTCAGATAGTTGTTTTTCTCTTTGGCATCTGGTGGGAGGGCGTTCCACAGGGCGGGGGCCACCACCAAGAAGGCACTGAACAGATTAAGTCAGGGGTCAGCAACCTTTTTCAGCAGGGGGCCGGTCCACTGTCCCTCAGACCATTTTTTGGGGGGGGGGATGAACGAATTCTTATGCCCCACAAACAACCCAGAGATGCATTTTAAATAAAAGCACACATTCTACTCATGTAAAAACACGCTGATTCCCGGACCGTCCGCGGGCCAGACTGAGAAGGCGATTGGGCCGGATCCGGCCCCTGGGCCTTAGGTTGCCTACCCCTGGATTAAGCCAACTGTTCTGTTGTTTGTTGATAAAATGTTTCCTGCTGCTGAAGTTTTCCGCTGTTTCTGGGTCTGTTTCATAAGTTTCATAATTGTTTTCCTGAAGTTTACTGAGCGTAAACTACTGAGAAGGCCCAGTGCCTGGTTCCCTGTAACTTCACTTCTTGCAGTGAGGGAATCGTCAGAAGGCCCTTGGAACTGGACTTCAGTGTCCAGGCTGAACTATGAGGGTGGAGATGCTCCTTCAGGTATACAGGGCTGAGTTCCAAAGTGTTGGCACTGCGACACTAAATAATCAATTTCAGAATGTTGTTCGGGTTGATGCTACAGGTCTTTCCACACTGCCTAACAGATTCAGTCTCCTCCTTTGCCTCGATCTAGCTGGAGCCCTTCCATGCTTCGCTGATCCTTTTCCTGGGGAAAGCCTGGGATGCTGTGGCCGACCCCGCCATCGGATTCCTGGTCAGCAGAAGCCCCCGCCGGAGGTGGGGCAAACTGATCCCCTGGTGAGTGAGAGGGGAAAGGGGCGACCGGGTGGAACTGCTGGTGTTTTGCAGGAAAGATCAAGGGGCAGCCTGGTCATAAAAGCTGGAGGTGCGTTAAGCGAGCCGCTTCTCATAGGACAGTGGAGTTGGAAGGGACAAAAATGAAAAATTCAGCCTTTCTCAACCTGTGGGTTCCCAGATGTTGTTGGACTACAACTCCCATCACCCCTAGCTAGCAAGGCCAGAGCTCAGGGATGATGGGAGTTGTAGTCCAACAACATCTGGGGACCCACAGGTTGAGAACCGCTAGTCCATATACTTCTTACAGAAGATTGGAAGAAGTATATGAATTATTTGAAGAGCAACTGTAACCAACGAATTACGCTAGTAGGACTACAAGAAGTTCTGTAAAGAGAAATATACGAAGTGTTACAAAGCAGGAAAAGATAGAGATATCGGTTATGAGTTTGAAATGTAATAGGGGAAATAAGAAGTGCATACTAAGAGATTAGATTGGAAAATTTTCAGACAGGACTGATGGAAGTCAAAAAAAATTGAATAGGATGTAAAAGTATGTTTAATTACTGTTGAAAATGATATGTTAAAAACAAATAAAAAATTATATAATTTTTATAATATATATATATATATATATAGAGAGAGAGAGAGAGAACGGCAAGTCCACGGGTAGGCAAACTAAGCCCCGGGGGCCGGATGCGGCCCAATCACCTTCTAAATCTGGCCAGCAGACGGTCCCGGAATCAGCATGTTTTTACATGAGTAGAATGTGTCCTTTTATTTAAAATGCATCTCTGGGTTATTTGTGGGGCAACAGGAATTCGTTCATTCTCCCCCCCAAAAAAATATAGTCTGGCCCCCCACAAGGTCTGAGGGACAGTGGACCGGCCCCCTGCTGAAAAAGTTTGCTGACCCCTGCCTTAAGCTAAGGGCGCTGAACCTTTTCGGCTCCATGGGCCAAATTTTGCAGGTATGGAGGTTTTGCATGTCGCCCCTCTTCCCTCTTTATATTTCCAACCTCGGAGATTTCAAGGGGAAGAGAAGAGGCAGTTGGCCAATGGTGTTGTGAGTTTTTTCTCTCCCCCCCCCTTCTGAACAAGTTGAAGCTGAACCTTCAGGGATGGATCCTGGCATGTTCCTGATGTGGCCTGACGTTTGTTCCAGCGGTCAGATCCCTGGTTTCACATCCTGGTTCTGCAGCTCTACCTGTTGGACTCCTGCCTTTCACGTGGCCCTTAAAGACACAAAAGCTCTTCTGGCAAACAAAGACTTCCAACTTGGGCATCCAGCCTGCCATTGCCCCCTCTTCCAATAATTGTGACGAATTCCCCATTGCAGTGGAACCTCCAGATACAGGGATAGTCTACCTCTGAGCACCAGATTGGGGGGTGGCACAGTCGTTGCAATCCCTCCCCCCCCTGCTGCTTCCTGCCTGGCGGCATCCGGCTGGCTGCTCTTAGCAACGACAGCCCTGCAAGGCGGTCCTTACGCTCTCTTGTTCTCCTTGCAGGGTCGTCTGCTCCACGCCATTCGGGGTCTTCTTCTACACTATGCTCTGGTTCGTGCCCTCAGATTCCCTCTCTGTGTCACTGAAGTTCTTTTGGTATTTGGTCATGTACTGCCTCTTCCAGACCTGCATGAGTGTAAGCGCTTGTGCCTGGGACGGATGGATGAATGAATGAATGTTCCCTTCAGCCATTCATGTATTTATTGATGCTGAGGTTTATATATAGACACGGCACGTCCTGGACTTCAAGGTGGGCTTTGTAGACCAGGAGGGTAAAAGACAAAGACATACACACACGCAACACACACAGCGGGGAGTTTAAAATGAAAGCCACGTTTTAAAAAAGCTACAAGCAGGCATTGCTAAGAGCCCAGCTCACAACATTGCATTAACTGCAACTACATTGAGGTTGAATCCAGACAAGACAGAAGTGCTGTTTTGGGGGGACAGGGGGTGGGCAGGTGTGGGGGACTCCCTGGTCCTGAATGGGGTAACTGTGCCCCTGAAGGACCAGGTGCGCAGCCTGGGAGTCATTCTGGACTCACAGCTATCCATGGAGGTGCAGGTCAGTTCTGCGTCCAGGGCAGCTATCTACCAGCTCCATCTGGTATGCTGGCTGAGACCCTATCTGCCTGTGGACTGTCTCGCCAGAGTGGTGCATGCTCTAGTTACCGGTATGTCCCGCTTGGACTACTGCAATGCGCTCTACGTGGGGCTACCTTTGAAGGTGACCCGGAAACTGCAACTAATCCAGAACGCGGCAGCTAGACTGGTGACTGGGAGTGGCCACTGAGACCACATAACACCGGTCTTGAAAGACCTACATTGGCTCCCAGTACGTTTCCGAGCACAATTCAAAGTGTTTGTGCTGACCTTTAAAGCCCTAAACGGCCTTGGTCCAGTATACCTGAAGGAGCGTCTCCACCCCCATCGTTATGCGCAGACGCTGAGGTCCAGCGCTGAGGGCCTTCTGGTGGTTCCCTCACTGCGAGAAGCAAAGCTACAGGCAACCAGGCAGAGGGACTTCTCAGTGGTGGTACCCACCCTGTGGAATGCCCTCCCACCAGATGTCAGAGAGAACAACAACTACCAGACTTTCAGAAGACATCTGAAGGCAGCCCTGTTTAGGGAAGCTTTTAATGTTTAATAGGTTATTGTATTTTAGTGTTTTGTTGGAAGCTGCCCAGAGTGGCTGGGGAAACCCAGCCAGATGGGCGGGGTATAAATAATAAATTATTATTATTATTATTATTATTATTATTATTATTATTATTTCCACCCTGACAGATTCCCCCCTTTACCTTTACCTTTACCTCCTTTTAGTGCTACCACGTCCCTTATTCCTCACTGACCATGTTCCTGGGAGGGAGTCAGATGGACCGCGACTCTGCGACCGCCTACAGTAAGTCCCTTGGCAGAGATCGCCATTGATCTGGAAATGCAGCTCCTGCCTTCCTTGTTTTCTGAGATGGTGAATCTCTACAGCAGGCATCCCCAAACTCGGCCCTCCAGATGTTTTGGGACTACAACTCCCATCATCCCTAGCTAACAGGACCAGTGGTCAGGGATGATGGAAACTGTAGTCCCAAAACATCTGGAGGGGCTAGTTTGGGGGTGCCTGCTCTACAGGGATTTCCTAGTCTGGAAAAAATAATAGTATCAGAGTTGGAAGGGCCAAGTACACTCTAGCCCAGGGGTCAGCAAACTTTTTCAGCAGGGGGCCGGTCCACTGTCCCTCAGACCTTGTTGAGGGCCGGACTATATTTTTTTTGGGGGGGGGAATGAACGAATTCCTATGCCCCACAAATAACCCAGAGATGCATTTTAAATAAAAGGACACATTCTACTCATGTAAAAACATGCTGATTCCCGGGCCGTCCACGGGCCAGATTTAGAAGGCTACTGGGCCGGATCTGGACCCTGGGCCTTAGTTTGCCTACCCATGAGAGAGACAGGGGTCAGCAAACTTTTTCAGCAGGGGGCCAGTCCACTGTCCCTCAGACCTTATTGGGGGCTGGACTATATTTTGAAAAATAATAATGAACGAATTCCTATGCCACACAAATAACCCCGAGATGCATATTAAATAAAAGGACACATTCTACTCCTGTAAAAACATGCTGATTCCCGGACCGTCCGCAGGCCAGATTTAGAAGGTGATTGTGCCGGATCCGGTCCCCGGGCCTTAGTTTGCCTACCCCTGCTCAGTCTAGCTCAACCCTCTGTAATGTAGGGATCTTTTGCCCAGCGTGGGACTCAAACACCCAACCCTGAGATTAAGAGTCTCACGGTTTACCGACTCAGCTACCCCATCAGTTCATTTGTCCTGCCCTGGTGTCGTTGCCTGAGGCTGGTGTGACAGTTAACAAGGTGGAGATTACACTGATTAATTAATGGGGATTTTACGGAGAGGGAACTTTTCTGTGTAAGGGTATTTCATAGAATCATAGAAACCTAGGGTGGGAAGGGACATGAGGGTCATCTAGTCCAGCCCCCTGCAATGTAGGAATCTCAGCTAAAGCATCGATGACAGATGCCCATCCAAACTCTGCTTAGAAACCTCCAAGGAATAAGGACAAAGAAACAAGCATAGGATAAAACATCTGAATAAAATACAAGAATAAACACAGATAATGGATGGATAAAAACTGATAATTAAAACAGTTAAGAACTAAAAACAAACAAAAACACGCAGTTAAAAGTACTGTAAGAGCATAAGAACTAAAATACTCGCAGTTAAAACAACTATAGGAGGCTGCAAAGTAGAAGGCTCTGAAATAGAGGACACTCACAACATTAGAAACTGATGTGCAAATATGGTTAACTTAAGACTTAAGACTTCATTCCCTCATAATAAATCTGCAACACTTAAAATATAAATCTGGGGACTTTAAATGAAATCTGGGGACATTCCATGGACAGATTTTGTCAGGGACAGATTTGTAAATCTGGTGACTGTCCCTGGGAAACGGGGACATCTGGTAACCATAGGCTAGGTTCCAGCCATGCAAAATCCAGAGTTGTAGAAACATCTGCAAGCGCCACTCTGATCTCCATCCAGGCACCTTCTGGCCAGGCAAATATCACTCAAGGAGGGTGTGAGATGGGGATGGTGAGGGGTCTGGCCTAGGGGAAGGGGTTGTGGCCTGGGCGGAGTCCAGAGGGCTGGATAGAAGAGCCTTGGGGGCCGCCCTCCCCTGGTTTAGAGCTGTGCTGTGACTCCTTTCCGCTCACGCCTCTCCCACTTTTCCATGGCTTTCGGCAGGGATGGGAGTGGAGATGCTGAGCACCCTGGTGGGGTCGGGTATCCAGGGGCAAATCGTCGGGAGTCACCACGCCAGCATGAGGAAGAGGTGCGACGTGGCGAATGGAACCCTGGCAGAAAACGACACCTCTCTGCTCCCGGATGTGCTGGAGAATGCGGTAAGAGTTGGGCCGGCCCTTGGTGACTGTAGGCAACCAGCCATATGGGAGCTGAAATGGGACTGGGAGCCGCATGGAACAAGCGAGAGCTGCAACAAAATGTTGCAGCATGCCCCAGCCTAACAGAGCTGCTCCTGTTCAGGGTTCTAGCAACCATAACCTTCCTTGAGGAGGCTCCATTTCCCCATGCTGCCATCCCTATTCAGATTAGCTCCATTAATAAGAGTAGTACAGTCATACCTCGGGTTACAGATGCTTCAGGTTGCGTTTTTCGGGTTACAGATGCACCAAAACCCGGAAGTACCAGAACAGGTTTACTTCCGGGTTTTGGCAGTCATGCATGTGCAGAAGTGCTAAATCATGCTTTGCGCATGCTCAGAAGCGCCAAATTGCAACTTGCGTGTGCACACACGCGGTGCTGCGGGTTGCGAACGCTGTGGGTTGCAAACGTGCTTCCCACACGGATCAAGTTCGCAACCTGAGTGTCCACTGTAGTAGTAAAAGGTAAAGGGACCCCTGACCATTAGGTCCAGTCGTGGCCGACTCTGGGGTTGCGGCGCTCATCTTGCTTTATTGGCTGAGGGAGCCGGCGTACAGCTTCCGGGTCATGTGGCCAGCATGACTAAGCCGCTTCTGGCGAACCAGAGCAGCGCATGGAAACTCTGTTTACTTTCCTGCTTGGTCATCCAGCAACCCCAGAGTCGGCCACGACTGGACCTAATGGTCAGGGATCCCTTTACCTTTTACTACCTCAGTGGACACTCGGGTTGCAAGTGGTACCTATTTATCTACTTGCACTTTGACATGCTTTCGAACTGCTAGGTTGGCAGGAGTAGTAGTAGTAGTAGTAGTAGTAATAATAATAATAATAATAATTCATTATTTATACCCCACCCATCTGGCTGGGTTTCCCCAGCCACTTGTGGGATGTAATCCATTGGTGCAGTCAAATGCAGCATTCCTTATTTCCTAGAGTGGGCACAGGCAGGGAAACATCCAGTCAGTGTAACTTCCTCTTAGCTTCCTCACCCTGCATGTGACCTGGGAGATGAGCATGGCTCTGGCTGGCTCCACAAAAGAGCCACATCATGAAGCCATGTTTTCAGTTCGTCTGTCTTCTCCATACTGTCTTGTGTTGCTGTTCTTTTGCTGCCATACTGTTCTCCTGCCGCCATTTTGTTGCCTTAATGTAATTTTGCTGTCTGCTGGCTCTCAGCCAGCAGCACATGAGTTCAGTCTCCCTATGAGATGAACCCGCAGATTCTTGTGTAACTATTAAGAAACGCCTGCCTTCCGGGAATCATATTGCAGTGGCGTAGCGTGGGTTGTCAGCACCCGGGGCAAGGCAAGTAATTTGTGCCCCCTAACCCGTGGATTTGCGCCCCCTAACCCTAACCCCCAGATGTTGCGCCCGGCCCCCCCTGCACCCCCACGCTACGCCACTGGAGGGACTCCCAAGAAGGTGAAGCGGGACTTCACCCCAGGGTATCTCGGAAGCCCTCGAGGCAGCGACGCTTCCACCCCCTGGAAACAGCAGGAAGGTGCCCCGCTCTTGTGCCCCGGTCCTGCTTTGAGTGCTTCTCATTGACGCGTCTGCTTGGCCACTCACTCTACATGGGCCCTTGTGGCCTTTGATCCAGTAGCCGGGTCCTTCTTTGGAAAGAGCGAGCGCCTCCCTCCGCCCCCGCCACACGGAGCTCAGCCTGCACGTGGGCATGGCGCGCTGCTCTCTCCAGCTTCCTCCCGGCCGGGCCAGCGGCTCCACCTCTTTTCCTTTGCCTTTGAGCCGCTTAATTCCCAGCAAGCAATTAGCAGGCTCGCTCCACCTCCTCCTCCTCCCGGCTTTGCTGCTGCTGCTGCGAGGCTCTTTTCCTCTACCGACGGCGCGCTGCGCCTTGGAGAGGTTCCCGCTTCCTCGAGGGGGGCCGGCCAAACGCGCCCCAAAAATGTTGCGCCCGGTGCGGCCGGCACCCCTGGCACCCCCCACGCTACGCCACTGTCATATTGCGAACTGAAATGTGAATAAATCTTTTGTTACTTTGCTCAGAAAGACTCTTGTGTCTTTATTCTTTTAAGCGGGATCAAAAGGGAATAAACTTAATGAAGAGATTCAAACGAACCTGCAAACTAACCGTATTTTTCGCTCTATAGGACACACTGGACCATAGGAAGGGGAGAACAGGGGAAATTTTTTCCCCTTGTTCTCCCCCTCAAAAACAAGGTGCGTTCAAGGTGCGTTCAAGAGCAGGTCAGGGAACAGTGCAAAGGCTGCGCACAGCCTTGCCGTTGCCCACTGAGCTTGTGGGGCTGGCGCTTCCCCCACACCCAACCTCAAAGATCCCTGAAGCCTTTGGAGCGCAGCTTCAGAGACAGCCTTTCAAGCCTCCGCAGAGCAGCGGGGTGCCTTCACCCTGCCACCCTGCGGAGGCTTTGCGCAGCTATCCCGAAGCTAGAACAGCGAGATGGAGGACTGCTATCCGCAAGCCTTCGGAGCCCGGCGGACTTCGGGCTGCAGGCAGCTGTCCACAAGCCTGCAGAGCCCAGCGGGAGTTCCCACTGGGCTCCTCAGGCTTGCGGATAGCTTCCTGAAGCCTGAAACGTGAGAGGGGTCGGTGCGCACTGACCCCTCTCGCTCTCCAGGCTTCAGCGAAAGCCTGCATTTGCTCCATAGATGCACACACATTTCCCCTTCATTTTTGGAGGGGGAAAAGTGCATCCTATAGAGCGAAAAATACGGTATATTGAGGGGAATCTGCTCTGCTACATCACTTACTAGCGTGAGTGAAGGAAGGCTAATACTTATTCAATATAAAGTGGTACCTTGGTTTACGAACTTAATCTGCTCCAGAAGTCCGTTCTTAAACCGAAACTATTCTTAAAGGTAAAGGTAAAGGTACCCCTGCCCGTACGGGCCAGTCTTGACAGACTCTAGGGTTGTGCGCCCATCTCACTCAAGAGGCCGGGGGCCAGCGCTGTCCGGAGACACTTCCGGGTCACGTGGCCAGCGTGACAAAGCTGCATCTGGCGAGCCAGCGCAGCACACGGAAATGCCGAAACTATTCTTAGACCAAGGTAAAGTTCGAAAACCGGGACACTACTTCTAGTTTTGCGGAGTTCGGAAACCAAATAGTTCAAATACAGGGCTGTTCTTAAACCGAGGTACCACTGTATCCTTTCCTACAATCCTTAATATTCCCATACTACTCTGGGCAGCTCCGAACAGAATTATAAGCACAATAGAACATGAAATATTAAAAACTTCCCTAAATGAACGGACACGGCTAACTTAGGTCCAGTCCCTTCAACGGGTTTACTCTGAGTGGAATATGCATGCATTGCACCCATGAACAAGCCGTCAGATTTTGACTGGTTGTGATTTTGCACACGGCCAGTAAACGGTTTTCTCTGTTTCCCTTTCAGCGCACGGCGTATGTTGTCGCTTCCCTGGTCCTTGGCTCTCTTTATTTCCTTTCCTGTTTGGTCCTTTTCTTGGGAGTGAAAGAGCAGCCAGGTAAACGTATAGCTATTTCATATATTTGGAGCTCACTGTGACTTTTCTTGAAGGTTCAGCCCTGGGCCTGGTCACAAGATCCAGGGTACATCTAGAGAGATGCTTATCGTGGGATGGCTGCGGCTTATGCATGCAAGATTCTTTTGCAAAGTCCAAAACAAAACCCATCTTCCCTTCTGAAAAAGTTAAAACACACCCAGTGTGTTGCCAATCTCCCATTTGCATCTTCTGAATTGCCTGCTTGCAATATTAAGATCTTGTCTGGAAACACCCTGTGAACAAAGAAACGCGTTGTTGTTGTTGTTTAGTCGTATAGTCATGTCCGACTCTTCGTGACCCCCTGGACCAGAGCACGCCAGGCACTCCTGTCTTCCACTGCCTCCCGCAGTTTGGTCAAACTCATGCTGGTAGCTTCGAGAACACTGTCCCACCATCTTGTCCTCTGTTGTCCTCTTCTCCTTGTGCCCTCCATCTTTCCCAACATGGGGGTCTTTTCCAGGGAGTCTTCTCTTCTCATGAGGAGGCCAAAGTCTTGGAGCCTCAGCTTCAGGATCTGTCCTTCCAGGGAGCACTCAGGGCTGATTTCCTTAAGAATGGAGAGGTTTGATCTTCTTGCAGTCCAGCATGAGTTTGACCAAACTGCGGGAGGCAGTGGAGGACAGGGGTGCTTGGCGTGCTCTGGTCCAGGGGGTCACAAAGAGTCGGACACGACTAAATGACTAAACAACAACAACATCAATATGTCCAAAATTTTGTCCTTCCAAATTATCCATTCTTTCCACTACATCACAAGTGTTGTTAAAATCCCGCTAATGTTTTAACCAGCTTACAATGGTCTTGTAAGTACCGGTAAATTATAAATTTTTCCCATTTTTTTTAAAAAAAAAGTTCTTGCCCTCTTGGTTTCTGAGCTTCCCAGTTAATTTTGCTGTTTCGGCATAGTCCATCAACTTGGTTTGCCGAAGGAAAGTTAAAAGGAAGTTAATGCTAGCCTGCTCCCCTTCTATTACATCATACGTTTGCCTTGGGCATTCTGGTGCAGAAAGGCAATTCAGAAATGGCAGAAATAAATCCATGTTACTGTTCCTTTCTTCCCTCTTTCTTTCTTTCTTTCTTTCTTTCTTTCTTTCTTTCTTTCTTTCTTTCTTTTTTCTTTCTTTCTTTCTTTCTTTCTTTCTTTTTTTCTTTTTTTCTTTTTTTTTTTGCCAGGACGATACACCCCTTTGGGGAAGACCAGACTCCCGTTCTTTGCCAGTCTGCGGGCCGTCCTAAGCCACAGCTCCTACACCCGGCTCCTTGCAGGTTTCTTGTTGGCATCGCTGGCCTTCCAGGTAACAGCAGGCCCTACCATGGCTGGGTAACAGCTGGTACAAGGCTTTCCTGGGCTGGAAGCAGGACACAATTGCTCAGCACTACACTGAATTTGCCGGACGGGTCATTGCTCAGCAGTTTTATTTATACCCCGCCCTTTCCTGTTCAGAAAACCAGGCTCAGGGCGGCTAACAACAAATTTAAAACACTTAATTGATGCAACAAAAAACAGCATAAAATACAGTATAAAACATGAATAATGATAAATTCAGAATTCAAAAATCAATTTAGGGGGAAATCCATCAAATAAACATTAGATGATCACCAGGGCTAGCTGGCTAAATTAGTCCTATTTGGGCCAGCGAGGAGACCAGGGGAGAATTAGCTGTGGGATCCCAGAGTGGGTAATCTTCATAAAAAGGGGAAGGGGAGGGAAGGAAGGGGAATAAAAGATCAGGCTAAGTTCAAATTGAAAGCCAGGCAGAATAGCTCTGTCTTACGGGCCCTGCGGAAGGAAGTTAAATTCTTCAGTACCCTGGTCTCATGGGACAGAGCATTCCACCAGGTCGGAGCCACCACTGAGAAGGCCCTGTCCCTGGTGGAGGATAATCTAACTTTCATAGGGCCCAGGACCTCTAAACTATGGACCTTAAGGTCCTCTGCAGGGCAGACCAGGAGAGGTGGTCCCGTAGAGCAGTGTTCCCCAACCTTGGGCCTCCAGCTGTTTTTGGACTACAACTCCCATCATCCCTCGCTAGCAAGACCAGTGGTCAAGAATGATGGGAATTGTAGTCCAAAAACAGCTGGAGGCCCAAGGTTGGGGAACACTGCTGTAGAGCACCTGCTTGGCTTACTGAAGGTTTGGTCCCTGGCATCTCCAGTTAACGGGGTCCATAGCAAGGGATGGGAAAGTCCTTTGCTCCTTCCGACCCTGTTCACTGATTGGCAGCATGTGCAAAACGCACTTTCAACCCAGGTGTATCTTTACCTGCCCCAGGTAAGGGCAGGTGAGTGTGGCTTGACCGAAAGAACCTGGCAAGGTGGTGTTTCCCCACCACTGATCTTCATTCTGAAAACAGCCTCCTTGACGGCCACTGAGGATAAAAATGGAATCAATGGTTTAGCAGGGAGTGGCATGCCACACTCGCCCGTTCAGCGCCCGAATGCTCGCTGAGGTTGTTCTGTTTCCACCCACAGCTTGCCCAGGGAATCTTTGCCTTCTTCTGCACTCATGCAGCTGGACTGCCTGGGAGCTTCCAGCATCTGGTGCTCATCATGTTGGTACGTATTGCCCGACCTTTTTTTAAAATCGTTTTTATTTGATTTTTCAAATATAAATTGATAACAAAACCAAATACATTTCCATATACAGTGGTACTTTGGTTTTTGAGTGTCTCGGAAACTGAACATTTTGGTTTTTGAATGCTGAAAAAGCGGAAGTAAATGCTTATGTTTTCGAACGCGCCTTGGAAGTCGAACGGCTGCGGGTTTTTTTCCATTTTCTGCATTGACTTTGCAGACCGCCCTTTGCGCCACGGTTGTTGAATGTTTCAGAAGTCAAATGGTCTTCCAGAACGGGTTATATTCCACAACCGAGGTACCACTATAGAGAGATTTCTCTGAATCTGGAGACCTCCGCCCATCCCCTCTGTGGCTCCTAATGTCAATGTTTTCAACTGCATATTATATCAAATCTATATTTTATATAGATTTTATATAAGGGACATGGGTGGTGCTGTGGGTTAAACCACAGAGCCTAGGACTTGCTGATCAGAAGGTCGGTGGTTCGAATCCCCGTGACGGGGTGAGCTCCCGTTGCTCGGTCCCTGCTCCTGCCAACCTAGCACTTCGAAAGCACGTCAAAGTGCAAGTAGATAAATAGGTACCGCTCCAGCGGGAAGGTAAACGGCATTTCCGTGAGCTGCTCTGGTTCGCCAGAAGCGGCTTAGTCATGCTGGCCACATGACCCAGAAGCTGTACACTGGCTCCCTCGACCAATAAAGTGAGATGAGTGCCGCAACCCCAGAGTTGCCCACGACTGAACCTGATGGTCAGGGGTCCTTTTACCTTTTATTTAATGAATATCTATCCTGATTTCTTTGTGGGAGACATTAGAGGACATTGCATCAAGTGAGTGTCGTCCCACACTTTCCAGAACTGGGGTGCCAACTTGAATAAAATATTGGGGAGAGGGCAGGTAAGCCCCATCCTGCATCATCGATCACATGATGTGGTACACACACGCTATTTGAATGGCAATGCCGATCAGCTGGGGGGGGGGAGAGGTGGAGGTGGCCCCTCAAATATTTTATGGGGGGCAAAGCCCCCTTAGCCCCTAGGAGTTGGCTCCTATGTTCCAGTACATTTCCCCATCACTATCTGAAATATACTCAGAGTCAAGAGTGGATTTCATGCTCTTTATTCAGCTCATAGTGGTGAGCAGGAATGAAAGTTTCCCCAAAGTATCTGCTTTATATACATTATTTACACAATGGGCTGCACGTGATTGGCTAATTCCGGAATTCACCTGTAGGCCAATCAGGTTGTGGATTCACTTCCATCTGGAGCTGGATTGGGTGGCTCCGGCAGACCAACCATACTGCTGCATTGTTCTAGGACCAATCAGACTGCTGCATTCTGAATCCTATTGTTCTAGGACCAATCAGACTGCTGCATTTAGGATCCTATTCAACTCAGTACATAACACTTTCCTTACTGTAAAACAAATTCATATTTTGTGGGAGAAGCAGGTTTGCTGTGCAAAAGCTCCAAACCAGCTTTCCTTGCACAGCTTGAATTTGCTGGGATATGGCTGGATACGACCCCAAAATAGGGACAGTGTGCTGGTGCCATGGGTTACCCGAGAGGCGAGGTCCAAGTCTGGTCCGGGGTCAAAGGTGCAACGTGGAGACAGTCTGTAGTAGCTGAAGCTGGGTGTAGGGCAGGGAGTCAGGTGAAGTCAGGAACAGGCTTGTAAGCAGGGAGCCAGGGCAGGTCGGGAGCTCAGGCACGAAAGCAGGACAGGGTTCACGCAGGAACTAGCAACCAACATGTTGCTCCTGCACCTTGGGACTGGGGCTGGCCAGCTTTTATCTGCCCCGAGGCATAGGGCGGCCCCGATCCTCTGGTGACTCGCCTCTCTGCCCTGAGCCTCTGCAGCTCAGGAGAGGCTGGAGGGTTACCGGACCCAGAGGCAACCTCCGCTTCCCCTGACGGGGCTGAGAGTGGAGCACCTGCAGGCAATGGGTCCTCCATCACCTCAGGAGCCAGAGCAGACTCAGCTGGCGCCTGCACCTGAGGATCCAGCACAGGTGAGGACCCTTCAGGCTCAAGCCCCGGCTCAGCTGGTTCTGGAGGCAGGGAATCCTGTGCAGGCTGGGATCCCTCAGGTTCAGCATCCAAATCCAAATCCCAGGCCATCACAGACAGTCTGGAATTGTCCGTAAGTCTGACTTCCACCTGAGCTTTGTGGGAGCAAATCAGGAAGGATGCTCAAGGAACAGGTCGCCAGGGGAAGCCCTGAGGTGAGTTGCTCATTCAGCTGCTGCACTTAATCTTTCTTAGAAAGCCGAATAAGACTGTCCAAGTAAGATAAATACAGCCTTGTGCCAAAGAGCTCTGAATTTCTGAATTTTCTTAATTTTTACGAGAAATTTTGTTTACAACATAGCATAAACCCCCCACCCCCCATTACAGAAACCCACCCTCATTAAACTTGAACATAACATACAATAAGCATAACATACAACAATACAAACAACCAAATAAAAGACTTCCTTTATCCTGTACCTGGCCTCCTTATTTACTTCTTATAAGCTGAATAATTATTAAGATTTTTCTAATTATAAGTTAAATATCCACAAATTCTCCTGCAGACATTAATCGAGACAGGTCCAGGTATGTATTTTAGGGCACTGTTTTGTGAAGTATTCTCTGCATTTCCCCCATGCTTTTTGAAGTTCTTGTCTAGTGTGATCTCTAACTGCCTCTGTTAATCTAGCCAGTTCAATATACTCTAACGGTTTGTCTTGCCATTCCTTTTTTGCTGTGCCAAAGAGCTCTGGGTCATGCCGGGTGATGAGCTTCCTCTCCCCTCTTTGCCTCCAGGTGGTCGCCTGCCTCTCCATCCCTGTGTGGCAGTGGTTCCTGGTAAGGTTTGGGAAGAAGTTGGCTGTCTTCATAGGCCTTTCGGTGAGCGTCCTTCACAAGACCTGTTCTTGATGACTTGTCTGCATTTTGCCTTTTTCAGTTGCAATTGCAGAGGGTGGTGACAAGGAAAAGGGGCCGTTTCAGCCATAGTTTCCTGCTCGTGGCATGCTCTCCTCAGGGAAACCTGCCTGGCTCCATCATTGACATCTTTAATAATAATAATAATAATAATAATAATAATAATAATAATAATATATTTATACCCCACCCATCTGGCTGGGTTTCTCCAGCCACTCTGGGTGGCTTCCAACAAAGTATTAAAATATAGTTATCTGTTAAACATTAAAAGCTTCCCTAAAGGGAGCTGCCTTCAGATGTCTTCTAAAAGTCTGGTAGTTGTTCTTCTCTTTGACATCTGGTGGGAGGGCATTCTACAGGGCGGGTGCCACCACCGAGAAGGCACTGGACAGATTAAGTCAGGGGTCAGCAAACTTTTTCAGCAGGGGGCCTGTCCACTGTACCCTCAGACCATTTTTTTGGGGGGGGGAGGGAAATGAATGAATTTGTATGCCCCACAAACAACCCAGAGATGCATTTTAAATAAAAGGACACATTCTACTCATGTAAAAACACGCTGATTCCCGGACCGTCCGTGGGCCAGACTGAGAAGGCGATTGGGCCGGATTCGGCCCCCGGGCCTTAGGTTGCCTACCCCTGGATTAAGCCAACTGTTCTGTTGTTTGTTGATAAAATGTTTCCTGCCGCTGAAGTTTTCCGCTGTTGCTGTATCTGTTTCATAAGTTTCATAATAGTTTTCCTGCAGTTTATTATCTGTTTTATGATATACTTTATGCTCTCTTTTTAAAAGTTGCTTAGGGACTCCCCCCCCTCTTTTTTATAAGTGACTAAAAAGCCAAATAAATTTTACAGTAATGTAACAAACCTGTGATGTGGAGAAAAAAACCTTGGATGATGCCCTTTTCTCCACCAGGCATTGTGCCAGGAGAGAGCAGGATTGCAGCATCTCTGAAATTTTTCTACCCTGCAGATTAAAAGTGCTAAGTACTTAAAAGTACTATGTCAGCGGAAAGCACCTGACACATCTATGATGTGCTTTGAGAGAGAGAGAGAGAGAGAGAGTCAGTGAGATTACGTATTTCCAAAAGAGAGAGATTGGTCCAAGGGTGCACTGTGACTGCAGAGGTGAGCCTTAAACACTGTATATCACCAAATATAATGTTAAGAGCCAACTGGCTATAGAAAACCATCAGGGACAGGTTGGAAAAATAGTAAAGGTAAAGGTACCCCTGCCCATACGGGCCAGTCTTGCCAGACTCTAGGGTTGTGTGCTCATCTCACTCTATAGGCCGGGAGCCAGTGCTGTCCGCAGACACTTCCGGGTCACGTGGCCAGCGTGACAAGCTGCATCTGGCGAGCCAGCGCAGCACACGGAACGCCGTTTACCTTCCCGCCAGTAAGCGGTCCCTATTTATCTACTTGCACCTGAAGGTGCTTTCGAACTGCTAGGTTGGCAGGCGCTGGGACCGAGCAACGGGAGCACACCCCGCCGCGGGGATTCGAACCTCCGACCTTTCGATCGGCAAGTCCTAGGCGCTGAGGCTTTAACCCACAGCGCCACCCATGTCCCTGGTTGGAAAAATATATATGCCAAATTCCAGAGGGGTAACAAATGAGACCTACAAGTAAAGCTGTAGATCAGGCTGTGGAACTCCTGCTGCGCTCCGAAGGCTTGCGGATAGCTGCCTGAAGCCCCCGGAGCGCAGCCTTTGAAGCCTCCGCAGAGCAGCGGGGTGCCTTCACCCCACTGCCCTGCAGAGGCTTTGCGCAGCCATCCCCAAGCTAGAACAGCGAGACGGAGCACTGCGCAGCGCTCTGTCTCCCTGTTCTGGCTTTGCTCTATAGGACGCACACACATTTCCCCTTAATTTTTTGGAGGGGAAAAAGTGTGTCCTATAGAGCGAAAAATACGGTAGATGGCTGTGAGGAAGTGAGGGCTTTCCGTCTTGGCAACTGATGGAGGAAGACCAGCAGAAACGAGCTGCTGTGCTCATTAGGCCTGACATCCCACCAAGTCTGTGGAGGTTGAATTTTTGCTAAGAAAGAGTTCACCCCATCTTTGAACTGTGTGATTACGGACTGGCATGCTTCTGTGACAAGACCCCCAATAGGAATCCCGCAAGCAGTACCTGAGTGCGAGAGCAGCTCTCCCCACTTGCGATTTCCCACAACTGGCATCCAGGTGGATCCCATCTCTGACAGCGTAGGTAGATCAGGTAGCCATCCTGGCTACTAGTTGTCGATGAAGTGGCTCTTTTTCCTCTTTTTCTTCCCTCTCCTCCTCCTGCTCACCTTGTCTGCTGCAGCTGATCATCCCGTCTCTCACTGTTATCACGGTCGTGACCCACAACTTCCTGGTCTACGTCTTCATGGTGGCCCTGGCAGGAAGCAGCCTCGCCGTCCTCTACTTGTTGCCATGGTGAGCGGAAGGGAAGTCCCGAACAATAGCGGGCTCGTCTGGGGAGGGCGTACCGCATCCGGACGGAAGCTTCCTGAAAGCTATGCTTTCCAGCATTTCGGCACTCCGGGAACTCTCAGAGGCACTTGGTTCATAAAATGCAGCGCTACACACATGGATGTGAGAAAAACAAGCATGAGAGAGATCTATAACAGGGTCTGCCGCTGCGTTTGCTTCGGCACGTTTTTCCGTTTGGAGTTTTCTGTTGTAATTCCTACTTGCCCCTTGACACGACCAGCCCAAGAGATTTTGCCGCTTGAGGCAAAACAAAATGAGGTGGCTGGAGGTGGCCCAGGGAAAACCCAATACTCTGAAGGCAGTGGGAGAGAAAATGGGAGGCTGGGGGTGGCAATGGCATCAGGCAGCAGGCACAGAAGGTGGCAAGGGGCCCACTCCTCGTGAACCAGATCTGCCTTCCCTCCCAGCTTTCCCCAGCCTTCTGCCTGAGGCGACTGCCTCACTGAGGCTAATGGATGAGCCAGCCTTGCCCCTCAATCTCATCTGTCTTTCGATACGATGATACGATACGATAATCTTTATTGTCATTGTCCCATGCAGAACAATGAAATTGAAGAAATCTACAACAGACATTCAAAAACCAACAAGCCTGCTATCCCAGCCTGCTTAACCCCCTAAAATTAACCCCCTAATTAAATACAATATATGGGTGGCACAGTAGGTTAAACCGCAGAGGCTAGGACTTGCTGATCAGAAGGTCGGAAGTTCGAATCCCCGTGATGGGGTGAGCTCCCGTTCCTCGGTCCCTGCTCCTGCCAACCTAGCAGTTCAAAAGCACATCAAAGTGCAAGTAGATAAATAAGTACTGCTCCGGCAGAAAGGTAAATGGCGTTTCCGTGTGCTGCTCTGGTTCGCCAGAAGCGGCTTAGTCATGCTGGCCACATGACCCGGAAGCTGTACGCCAGCTCCCTCGGCCAATAAAGCGAGATGAGCGCCGCAACCCCAGAGTCGGTCACGACTGGACCTAATGGTCAGGGGTCCCTTTACCATTACTTTACTCCCACAGAGGCTGCCTTACACTGTGTTTAATACCAAAATCGCATTTGGGTAGAAACTGTTTCTCAGACGGCTAGTCCTAGTCTTTATAATCCTGTACCTTCTTCCAGAAGGCAGAAGCTGAAAGAGATCATTTCCATGGTGCGCACTGTCCTGCGCTATCTCTGCAGCTTTCTTATGGCACCTGGAAGCATAGATTTGATCCAAGGTGGGAAGAGTGCACCCAGTTATTCTCTCTAGATGATCAAGGCCCTTCCAGTGGTCAAAGCAAATTATTAGCTCCAGCAAAGCTCCTAAGAGCCCACATTGTTCCTCTAGCATCCTTACCGCTCCCAGGGCAAATCGTGCCCCCAACTTGAGGGTTGTCAGAACCTTTGGGGACATCTAGTATCTCGATTTCGGGCTAATTTTGTCCACTGGGACTGGCAGCAGCTTTTGCAAGGTCCGTGGCAAATGTATCAAAGTCCCCGAGTGCCTGGGAAGTTTGAGCCCCTGTGCTTTGTCCCTTTTGCACCGACAGTTGCTATTTTGCTGGTGGACTTTCTGAAATAAGGAAAACGATGGCGGTAACCACACTTGCTTGACACGGATTCCTTGCGAAGGAATCGGAACGAATGCTCGACAGACAACCTCCCTGCAGACTTTGTGCAAAAACATTGAGTAAGGTAAAGGTAAAGGGACCCCTGATCATTAGGTCCAGTCGTGGCCGACTCTGGGGTTGTGGCGCTCATCTCGCTTTACTGGCCGAGGGAGCTGGCGTACAGCTTCCGGGTCATGTGGCCAGCATGACTAAGCCACTTCTGGCGAACCAGAGCAGTGCACGGAAACGCCGTTTACTTTCCCGCCGGAGTGGTACCTATTTATCTACTTGCACTTTGACGTGGTTTTGAACTGCTAGGTTGGCAGGAGCAGGGACCAAACAACAGAGCTTCTCCAGCCGGTATAGCTAATATTATTATAATGACGTATATAATCTTCCCATAATAATTTCACAGTAGGGCATAGTACTAAAGAAACTAATGATCTGCCATCCTTTTCACTTAGAGAATTCCACACAACACAAATAATCCCATACATCATTTATAAAAGCATAACGGGGGAAACTGTGGGAAAATAACAGATGGTATGTAGAAAGAATCCAAAATTATTATTTAAGGAACTAATGGATGCACTGGTTTTTCAGAGCTGAAAAGGGACTGACTGTTGTTGTTTTTTATCTTTTCACTTGTGTGTACAGTATCTGTTACTAAAAACCTCTGTGAGAGGATATGGGGGAAACTTTTATCACTGGATATCAAACATTAAAGGTAAAGGTAAAAGGACCCCTGACTATTCGGTCCAGTCGTGACCAAATCTGGGGTTGCACACACATCTCGCTCTATAGGCCGAGGGAGCCGGCATTTGTCCACAGACAGCTTCCGGGTCTTGTGGCCAGCATGACTAAGCTGCTTCTGGCGAACCAGAGCAGCGCACGGAAATGCCGTTTACCTTCCCGCCAGAGCGGTACCTATTTATCTACTTGCACTTTGATGTGTTTTCGAACTGCTAGGTGGGCAGGAACAGGGACCGAGCAACGGAAGCTCACCCTGTCGCGGGGATTCAAACCACCGACCTTCTGATCAGCAAGTCCTAGGCTCTGTGGTTTAACCCACAGTGCCACCCACGTCCCTTTAAACATTGAGATTTATGCTTAATAGGCAGGTTGTATTGAAGCAACCTTAGATATGCTCATTCACAGGTGAATTGTTGCTTGATGCTGTGATGACTGTCTTGCAGGTGCAAACCGCTTGACTTGATCTCCTGCTGTTCCCCAGGTCCATGCTTCCAGACGCAGTGGACGATTTCAAGCTGCAGAACCCCACCTGCCTCAACCTGGAAGCTTTCTTCTACTCGTTCTATGTTTTCTTCAACAAGCTCGCCGCCGGCCTCTCCCTTGGGATTTCCACCATGAGTTTGCAGTAAGCCTCCTCGTTCCAGCCTTGTTGCTCCTAAGTCACAAACGCTGTCCCAAAATCCCTTTCACTTCCTGGGATGGGAGAATGACCTAGAGCAGGGGTCAGCAAACTCTTTCAGCACGGGGCCAGTCCACTGTCCCTCAGACCTTGTGGGGGGCCGGACTATATTTTTTTGGGGGTGGGAATGAATGAATTACTATGCCCCGTGGGTGGCGCTGTGGTCTAAACCACTAAGCTTCTTGGGCTTGCCGATCAGAAGGTTGGCAGTTCGAATCCCCGCGATGGGGTGAGCTCCCGTTGCTCGGTCCCTGCTCCTGCCAACATAACAGTTCGAAAGCATGTCAAAGTGCAAGTAGATAAATAGGTACCACTCCGGCGGGAAGGTAAACGGCGTTTCCGTGCGCTGCTCTGGTTTTGCCAGAAGCGGCTTAGTCATGCTGGCCACATCACCCGGAAAAACTGTCTATGGACAAACGCCAGCTCCCTCGGCCTTTAAAGCGAGATGAGCGCCGCAACCCCAGAATCGTTCACGACTGGACTTAATTGTCAGCGGTCCCTTTACCTTTTACAAATAACCCAGAGATGCATTTTTTTTAAAAAAAGCACACATTCTACTCATGTAAAAACCCCAGGCAGGCCCCACAAATAACCCAGAGATGCATTTTAAATGAAGGGACACATTCTACTCATGTAAAAACAAGCTGATTCCCTGACCATCCAAGGGCCGGATTGGGCCAGATCCGGCACCCAGGCCTTAGTTTGCCTGCCCATGACCTAGAGGCAGGGCTGGCTTAAGAGCCCTCATGGTGCAGTGGTTAGAGTGCTGGACTCTAACCTTGGAGACCAGGGTTCAGAACTCCCACTCGGCCATGGAGCTCTCACTGGGTGACCTTGGGCCAGTCACCAGTTTAACTTCCTCACAGCATTGTTGTTGTTGTGAGGACAAATGAGGAGGAGGGGAACCACGCTCCTTGGAGGAAAAAGTGGCATATAAATAAATAATAATCTTTTTTTTTTGAAAAAAGCCATCATTTCCAGTTTTGCAGGTTACAGAGCCACGGACTGCACACATAACCCCCAGGTTATCCTGACGCTGCAAATTCTCATGGCGCCTGTTCCCATTGCCCTGCTGCTCTCCTCCATGGCCGTCTTCTTCTCCTACCCCATCGACGAGAAGCGGAGGAAGCAGATCAGAGTGGAAATGGAGGCGACTGGGTAAGGATGGGGTTCCCCCATGTGGAGCAGAAGAGCTGGAGAACCTTAAAGTGGTGGAGGGTCGCCCCCTAATTAAAGGCACAGGCTTCCCTATCCTAAAGGCTTGGGTTGGGTATTTTAGACCACATATAATAAATAATAATAATAATTTTTTATTTATATCCCGCCCTCCCCAGCCGAAGCCGGGCTCAGGGCGGCTAACAACAATAAAATAATACAACATTCTAAAATCATTTCATTATAAAATTAATTCAAATCAAATTAATGGCAACCATTGGGCTAGAGTTCTGTGAAGATTGCCAAAGGAGGGAGTCAGGCTGTGCCCTGGCCAAAGGCCTGGTGGAACAGCTCTGTCTTGGAGGCCCTGCAGAAAGATGTCAAGTCCCGCAAGGCCCTAGTCTCTTGTGACAGAGCATTCCACCAGATTGGGGCCACAGCCGAAAAAGCCCTGGCTCTGGTTGTGGCCAGCCTAACCTCTCTGTGGCCTGGGACCTTCAAGATGTTTTTGTTTGAAGACCGTAAGTTCCTCTGTGGGACATACCAGGAGAGGCGGTCCCGTAGGTACGAGGGTCATAGGCCATATAGGGCTTTAAAAGTTAAAACCAGCACCTTAAACCTGATCCTGTACTCCACCGGGAGCCAGGGCAGCTGGTATAGCACCGGGTGAATGTGATCCCGTGGCCAGGACCCCGTAAGGAGTAGCATTCTGCACCCGCTGGAGTTTCTGGGTCAGTCTCAAGGGCAGCCCCTGCAAACATCTTCCAAGACAATAATGCCCATTTACACCACAAAGGGCTCATAATCCACCTACTCTCAACAGCCAGAAGCATCATAGCCAGACACTGGAGAGACCTGTCTGGAGGAAGCATGGACCAATGGTACCAAATAGTATGGGAAACAGCCCTACTAGGAAAACTAACCAACAAACTGAAACTGACAAATAGAAGATGCCTTCACCCCAGTATGGCTCCCCTTTATCACATACACAGCCCAACAAGATAACGACAAGAATCCGCCAACAGCATACAAATCAATATGGCTAACCTGATTCAAAAATACACACTCACACCCTGCTCACACACAAAAACAATTCTCACTAGAGCCAACCAAAGACAACCAACCACACCCTAGGCCACCCCCAACCTCTCTCACCACCAAGGAAATACGGTACAACAAGTGAATAGGGAACCAGGCAGAGGGCCTTCTCGGTGGTGGCGCCCGCCCTGTGGAACGCCCTCCCACCAGATGTCAAAGAGAACAACAACTACCAGACTTTTAGAAGACATCTGAAGGCAGCCCTGTTTAGGGAAGTTTTTAATGTTTAATAGGTTATTGTATTTTAGTGTTTTGTTGGAAGCCGCCCAGAGTGGCTGGGGAAACCCAGCCAGATAGGCAGGGTATAAATAATAAATTATTATTAATATTATCATTATTATTAGAGAACCCGTACAAGTAACGTTGACACTAAATAGAATAATAGAACCATAACCACACCACCCCACTTGCCATTCCCTCCTCCCCCTCTTCCCCCCTCTTCCCCCTCCTTCTTCTTTTACCTAATTTTTTAAACCAATTCATGGACCAAGAACTTATACATTGACCACTAGTAATGAAACATGCAGATATTTTTTCCACATTTATTATGCTATGGTTGTGATATACAAATGACATGAGAAAACTTGGTATACTTATTTGTATAACATTCTTGTTTATAAAACCCAATAATAATAATAATAAGAAGAAGAAGCCACAGGCACTGGGAGTATGGAATTTTTTCTCCCCACACGTTACCCGCTAGCCATGGGGGCAGCAGCTTCAAAGGTTTAGATATATGCAGTTTCAGTGTATATTCAGTACCTTTGGAACCGAACCCACACATAAGACAAGATCGTGCTGTAGATGTCAACTGGCTTGGCAGTCAAGTCATTCCATCTTTCCAGGGAACCCTGAGAAATAATAATATAACAATAACAATAATTTATTATTTATACCCCGACCATCTGGCTGGGTTTCCCCAGCCACTCTGGGCAGCTTCCAACAAAATATTAAAATACAGTAGTCCGTCAAACATTAAAAGCTTCCCTAAACAGGGCTGCCTTCAAATGTCTTCTAAAAGTCTGGTAGTTGACATCTAGTGGGAGGGAGTCATAGCTGTCAACTTTTCCCTTTTCTTGCGAGGAATCCTATTCGGAATAAGGGAATTTCCCTTAAATAAAGGGGAAAGTTGACTGCTATGGAGGGAGTTCCAGAGGGCGGGTGCCACCACTGAGAAGGCCCTCTGCCTGGTTCCCTGTAACTTGGCTTTTCGCAGTTAGGGAATCGCCAGAATGCCCTTGGTGCTGGACCTCAGTGTCTGGGCTGAGTGATGGGGCTGGAGACACTCCTTCAGGTATACTGGATATGCTTTCATTGGGGCTGAAGGAGGCAAAAGAAAATGCACAGAGTGGGAAGAGATGCCAATCTCCTTCCATTGACCTTATCCAGCCAAAATCACCTATCCACCCACCCCCAAAAGTCTTAACCCAGGGCTGGGAGCCTCCTGGCCATAGCCTTGATGAGGCCTACCCTGGATCCCAAAGCTGCTTCCCCCATGTGTGATGTGGGGTGCGTGGCAGGTGGAGACACGGCTGTTTATGCACAATTTGCAGTGCGTTCCCAATGGTGCCTGCACATGTGAAATATACTCAGAGTCGAGAGTAGATTTCATGCTCTTTATTCAGCTCATAGTGGTGAGGAGGAATGAAAGTTTCCCCAAAGTATCGGCTTTATATACATTATTTACACAATAGGCTGCACGTGATTGGCTAATTCCGGAATTCTCCTGTAGGCCAATCAGTCTATGGATTCACTTCCATCTGGAGTTGGATTGGGTGGCTCCTGTGGACCAATCAGACTGCTGCATTCTGGACCCTATTGTTCTAGGGCCAATCAGACTGCTGCATTCTGAGTCCTATTTTTCTAGGACCAATCAGACTGCTGCATTTTGGATCCTATTGTTCTAGGACCAATCAGATGGCTGCATTTTGGATCCTATTCAACTCAGTACATAACACCATCTTTGCTGGGGCTGATGGGAATTGTAGTCCAACAACTTCCAGGGGCACCAGGTTGGCAAAGGCTGCTCTACGAGTTTGTTTGCCCCCTTTCGGAGAGCTCTTCCATAATTGCCCTCTCCGCACTTTAGACGCTGAGCCTCTTCTCCAATTTCACATTCATCTTTGCTGTTTTTCTAAGCAGGCATCAGGGTCAGACAGAATGCCCAGAATCAGAGGCAAGTTAGTCTCTGGAGGGAATTCATGACTACTTGCGGGAAAGTTGCTGATGCTTCTTGCCTCTGGTTGCAACACTACAAAGGACAGGTCTCTGGTGTCTTCCTTTTTTCCATCGGGGAGCAGCAGTGAAGACATCTCGGGTGCTTGCGCAAGATGCCAAAGAAATTAACTCCACGGAGCTCAACGTTTTTACAACCATCTCTTGCCCAGGGACAAATCCCTGAGGATGGAACAAGCAGAGACTTCGCTTTAAAAACTGGAATGAACTTCTTTTTCAGGGGAGCAGGAACAAGCTGGTGGTTCTACAAACACAGGGACTTTTAATGTACATTTATGTAACAAATATCTCTTGTCTTGGAAAGAGAATGGATTGTGCTATGATTCAGTGACTCGTCTTCTGCACTTATACGATTTATGTAAGCTCCTCACATATGAGTAAGGAAACTAGGCCAAATGCATATTCAATTTCAGGACATTTTAGAGAACTGGAACTCAGCTGCCCGGAGGTTGACCCCGGGCAGCTGCACTCAATATCATTATGGATCTCTCTCAACCCCAGTCGTTTTCACAGGTATTTTGGTCTTCTGCAATCTCCGGAACACAAAGCTATCTTCTTTGCAAGCTGAACTGGGACCTCTATGCATTTCTCTGTATGGTGGCATCCGTTTGATACCTACCCATGGCAAGAAGGATGCTTATTTAGCTCAGTTTAGAGAGGCAGAGGGCATGATCTTAGCGGTAGAGAACATGCCGTGAATATTGAAGGTCTCAGGTTCCACCTTCAATGTCTTGAGTTAACAGATCTCAGGTTAGGAGGGCTGAGGAGCTGATTGGAGAGTCAGAGTAGATAATTCTGAGCTAGAAGGATCTGTGTCCAGAGGGAAGTAAGATGTGACTCACCCAGCTGTCCGGGCACGAGTTGACCTTTCTCCAGGTCCTGACTGGGACCTACCATGACGTTCTTCTGACAAGCTATTAGCATTATGTTCCCAAGCGCTCCAGGTCAAGGCAAGCACAGCACTGAACATGCTGATGAGACCTCCCTGACCCAGACCGATCCTTAGCTTCCAACCTCCCCTACAAAATAGCCTCGTAGTTTCCACTTTCCTGGTTAGGGGAATCGCCTCCCTCCGGTGGGGGAAACAAGGCTCTGGTGCACACCAGAACCTGGTCCCAGCCTTCTGACGACACGACGCCTGCCTGTTTGTGAGGCTATGGATGCTGACATCCTTCAAGCCATTTAGCAACGGAATCTTGTGGTCTGGTCTATTTCGGTATGTGCTAATGTGGTTGCCATGCACACTGATGGCTTTTATCTGTGTTTTTAACTAGACTGCGAGTCGTTAGTGATTTGCCTGTTTATTGCACAGAGCCAGAGCAACAATAGGTGCTTTGTGAATCACACCGTGGAGCCAGGTTGACATTTCAGAAATAAGATTCCTTTTTTAAAATAATAACAATTAATTGGGGTGTTTTTTCCCCAGGGGGAGTTGTATGTGACTAAGAAGCTGCGGCTGACCATGTCTTAGTTGCAGAAGCTTTATTCTTCCAGTGCAAATGACATTCCCCTTCGTGCCTCTCATTGCTATGTGACTGGGATCAGAGGGTCAAAGGTTGTGACTTATTAAGGTAGGCCTGAGATTTGCCCCCACTGGAAGCCTTCCGCCAGGAAGATCGAAGACAGAGAACACCAAAATATTGCAAAGCTTAATGCAGCATTTGGATTCTCTGTCAAAAACATAGACAGTTGCTGCAACGTATTGGATTCAAAGAGTCCTTCAGTCAACACACACACACTTGCTGTTAGACAAGCCACTCTTCTCTAGACATTTTGTTAAGTTCTGGGTGAACATATCACAGCGATTCTTCAAACAGCTCTTGTTTATTCACAGGCCAGAACAGAACTGGGCTGAAGGGTTCAGCCAGCCTGCATATATAGCGTTCAACTACAAAGCAACAGTAACAACTTTCTGTAACTATCCAATCACTGAACGTCACTTTCAATTCCTTATTTGCATATGCGGACCTGAGTGAAAACTATCTACAGAATCCCCCTGCTGGCCCAGGGTGAGAACTTCAGGACATAACACCCCTCCCCACCGAGATATGGCGTTAGTTACAATCATAATGGTTATACAGCACTACACGTAATGGTTCAATTAGGCACAAAAACACATTGGTTACATTTCACATACTTCCATTAGATCGACAGTGTTACATGTCCAACAACATAGTCCTTTAAATAAGTTGGGTGCTTGGATACTATACTGGCTCACCTTACAGAGTTGTTGTAAGGGTCACAGTGTACATGACATGGTTTGAAACCTCTAAAGAGCTACACAGATGTGATCTCTTTTTATTACGACCACAGCTATGCCCAGATTCTTGCCAGATTCAACACTGCTACATGCAATGCTTCTCTGATCTTCCTCAGCAAAGACCTGGGGAAACAGAAGCAGTTGCGCTGTTGCTTTTGCTGAAAAGCAGCTGATTTCTCGTCTGCAACCCAGGGCCAGAAATGCACTTCAGGAGTGGGCTGCTGTGTACAGCTTGTTCCCTCTCTGCCCCTGCAGCTTCATTCCCATTATATTCTGGGTTGCTCCCTCCTCCTTCCGAAAGGCGGTGGCTTTTTGGTGCCAGGAAATCAAAAGCTGCTGTTATCCCATCCTACTAAAAGCCTCACAATTGGTGTAATTTGTATTCAGGTATTCTTGTAACTTGCATGTTACACCGTGTGGGCTGGAAGAGTAACGAGCGTCAAGCTGTGCTTTATACTTCGGAGTTTGACTGAATATTTGCATTTTCCGAGGCTGACATCTCTCGAGTTGTTTCGTTTCAGCTGACAAAAGCTGCCTTTCTCATTTTGTATTTTGTATGCTTTGACAACCAATACAGATGTTTCTGTTTCCTCCCTTCTCATACACTGTCCCTTATTCTTCAGCAGGAGGGGGTGAGGAGCATCTATTCCATTCCTGCCTCTCACTTCTGTGTGTTTGAGGTGGAGGGTGATGAGGGAAAGCCCATATATAGGGAAGCAGGTGGGTTTTCTCTCTTAAGATAAGTATTCTGCAGTGTAGGCTGAAGACTCCTTTTGCTTCTTGGAAAACGGGAATAGGAGAGGGGGCCCCAGGTACCTCAGAGATGGACCGGCCTGTGGTGAAACACATACAGTGGTACCTTGGTTGTCAAACTTAATCCATTCCGTTCGACTCCTGGAACCGTTCGAAAACCAAAGCACAGCTTCCGATTGGCTGCAGGAGCTTCCTGCACTCAGTCACAGAAGCCGCGTCGGATGTTCGGCTTCCAAAAAACGTTCGCAAATCAGAACACTTACTTCTGGATTTGCAGCGTTCAGGAGCTGATTTGTTCGGGAGCCAAGCCGTTCGAAAACCAAGGTACCACTGTAGTTGATTTCAGTGATGCAAACCAAGCTAACCGATGGGCATTTTCTGCAGACAAGGATTGATTGGGATAGGTTGGTGGGCAAGACAAGCTAAACAGCAAGTGGGACTTAGGGCAAATGGTTGCAGCGTGGAATGCTGCTGTGGTGAGATGCTCATAAGAACACGAGAGCCCTGGTGTGTCTGGGTGCAGCCTCATCGAGTCCAGCATTTTGTTGTCAAAGTGGCCAGCCAAATGTCGATAGGAAGCCCTCAAGCAGTACTCAGAGCAGAGGCGCACTCTTCCCAATTGCATCAGGCTGGGGAAGGCTGCCTTAGGCTACCGTATTTTTCGCTTCATAAGACGCACCCGACAATAAGACGCACATAGTTCTTAGAGGAAAACAAGAAAAAATATTCTGAACGAAACAGTGGATGTATGATTTTTTGGGGTGCAGGCTGTAGCCATGGACATGCTATGTGATCTGATGGTGAATTTGGGGACCCAGTGCAAAAATCCTGAGGATCCCTGTGGATCTGTGCTTTGTAACCACATTTTTGCACCATTGCAACCCCAGGAAACAGTGGATGCATGATTTTTTTTGGGTGCAGGCTGTAGCCATGGACATGCACATGATGGTGAATTTGGGGTGACCCAATGTAAGAATCCTGAGGATCCATGTGCTTTTACCTGCCCCCTCCCAGGCAGCCTCCTTTATCGCTAGCGTCCCTTATCTCTCTCCCGATCCCACCGATCAGCTGCTTCCTTTCAACACTCCCTTCCCTCTTGTTTGCCTTAGTGTCTTTTCCTTAGCTGGAGCAGTTTTTTGCTCCTCCTTTTCTTCTAATTTCTCTCCTCATTGATTTAGTCTTCCTGTTTCTGCCCTTTGCAAGTTTGCTGTCTTTACCTCTCCCCTCCCAGGCAGCCTCCTTTATTGCTAGCATCCCTTATCTCCCTCCCCGATCGCTTGCTGATTAGTGGCTTTGTTTCCACACCCACTTCCCTCTTTAAAAAAAAAAAGCATTATCTGCTTTTTGCCCCTGGGCAATTCGGCTCCAGGGACCACGCATTCGCTCCATAAGACGCACATTTCCCCTCACTTTTATAGGAAGAAAAAAGTGCGTCTTATGGAGTGACAAATACGGTATTTTGGAAGGTGCAATAGTTTAGTGGCAAGGCACATTCTTCTCACACAGACCATCTTGCCCTGAAACCTTGCCATTTTCAGTTAAAAGGACCAGGAATGGCAGATTTGTCAATGATTCTCAGTTTGGAGCAGGCAGTTCTAAGCCAGATGGACCCTTGTTTTTTAGCGCTGCAAAACAAGGCGGATAAAGTTTTCGCTTCAGTATGTTCTGATTTTGAAAACTGCAGTGTGAAGAGTAGGTCTTAAACCTTCTGTGCAATTATTTGTCCTTGCCTCTTCTGTTTTAACTCCGCAAGGGCACCCGAAGGAGAAAGATTTCATGACAAGCGCAGCTGCCGTCACTTACATCAGAATCATTCACTTCAAATCAGGGGTTCTTTCTTCTGTGTTCTAAAAACTGGATATACTTCTGATAATAATATATATTCCTAGCTGTGTGTCTCCCCAGAGGGTTTCTCCGTTTCAAAGGATAAAGGCTGCTTGTGGTTTGAGAAGAAAACTGCCTTTGAATACTGAGCACTCTTCAAAATTTGACCTTACAGAGAATCTTCCATTTTTAGCGATGCCTCGTGACCCTGTCAAAATGAATGCAAAGAAGTAATTTGAGGGGTGTTAAGCTACAAGAAGAGTGTGCTCCGGGGTTTATCTTTCAGTTTGAATATTGATATCCTACTGCACACTTTTAAGTCGATTCCTGAGGTTGAGATGGGCTGAATTGATGAGTTCTGCTGCTGAATTAATTAAGAGCATGAGAATAAAAGCCTGGCTGGATTGGCCAGTGGCTCAATTCTGTTCTGACAGATGCTCGTGAGCGTTCAACAGAATATTCAAGGGAACCAAATTGTTGTGATTTATTTGTTTAATTTTTATACCGCCCTTTATAGATCTCAGGGCCAGTGGCGGAGAGCAGGCGGGGGTGTGGCTGGCAAATATCCCAGGGGTGTGGCATGCGTCCTGGGGGCGTGGCATGTGTATTAGGGGTGTGGCATGTGTCCCAGGGGCGTGGCATGCCTCCTGAGGGCGTGGCATGTGATCCAGGGGTGTTGCAAGCGTCCTGGGGGTGTGACGCCCAGTATGGGATGGGGGAGCAGCCGCGATGGCACCCCACCAGGATCGCGCTGCTGGTGGTGATCTCAGGGCCAGTGGCGGAGGGGGCGGAGAGCAGGCGGGGGCATGGCTGGTGCATGTCCCGGGGGTGTGGCATGCGTCCTGGGGGTGTGGCATGCGTCCTAGGGACATGACATGTGTTCCAGGGGTGTGGCATGCATTCTGAGGGTGTGGCATGTGTCCTGGGGGCGTGGCATGTGTCCCAGGGGTGTGGCGCCCAGTGCGGGAGGGGGGAGCAGCCGCGATGGCACCCCACCAGGATCGTGCTGCCGGGGGCAGTGCGCTCCCCCCCACCCCTGTTCC